ATTTTGACAACCACCCATATGAAGGCTGAAAGATGCCTATGCCTTCGACAAGTTTGGACTCTCGCAACGTTACTACTGTCAATATGATAATATGATCATTATGATTTTAACTTAAGTTTTAATTGAATTGTTGCAAACTGATTTTGATATTTGCAACAGCCTCCCATCCCCGAAACCAACCAGAAGCCGCACGGCAGATCCCAAATTGAAGCAGGCGAAACCTGCTCTTCTTAGAGTCCAGCAAGGTGAGAATCCCATACTTTCACGTACGAGCGCCTTAAACCCACGTACCTAATCATCCCTAGACCCTAAACCCTAAACCCTAATAATCATTCGGGGCGAGGACCCTAAAGTTAGGTTGTGTGTATCTAGGTTGTATCAAGCTCACAAAGGACACAGGAGTATCTAGCAACTGTAGTCCCCGATGCGGTACCCTATTCTACAGAAGGGTCCGATACCACGTAAGAGATCTACGTTTGAGCTTCCCCCCGAATCTGCCAAGCCGTGATCTGCAAATTGCAACCCACTCCTCGTCGTCGCAGGGCTCTGCGAGGGCTCGTCGCGCCCATCCCCTGGCCCATTCACGGGCTCGTGCATCGTGGCTCCTTAGATGCACGCAGGATCTAAACTCTAAGCCCCAAACCCCTACTGCAAAGTAAACTAGCAATTACTCCTCTGGCTTGTGCAATACCCCTGCGTGAATGGCCAGGACAGAACCGTTCGGCCTGCTATTTCGCGTACGACCGTATCGTAGTATGTTGTACTACATCATAGCATATTACTAACCCTAAACCCTAAACCCTAAACCCTAAAACCTAAACCCTAAACCCTAAACCCTATTATTACTAGTTGTATCCAAACAAGCGGACGACCTATAACCTAGAACGACATTTCGAGACTGCTCGGAGGACAAGGGACCCCTGAGTAGGCTATACCAGCACCCCCGGATACGTGGTGAATAGCCCTGAAGGGTAGGGTTTAGGGTTTAGCGTTTAGGGTTTAGGGTTTAGGGTTAGTTATATCCAAGCTGATCTTGCCTACCTACCCTACTGCTGGATCCAATACTTCTGCTTACCTTGTGGCAATATAAAGAGTTCAAAAGCTCCGCTAGCGATTTAACCCAACCTTTGCTGCTGGTATGCCCTTCCCTCCTGCGCTGGTATATCAATCCCCAATGTGCAACTGCAGAATATCTCTGTACTTGCCATGCGGGAAGTAGATGGTTTTCTTGACTGTTCTTCAAGACCCCTTCATGACGAAATTAGGGGCAGTGTGTCCATTCCTGGAACACACATCTTCTAACAGCAACGAATTATGTGCAAGTACCCTTCCTTGGTTTGTATATGTGGATCCACAGCGTCACTGGACCCGACCGGGGTCGTTCCACTCTGGGCTAAGGGTAACCTGTACCTTAAGAACCCAAAACCCACCTTTTTGTAGGTTCTTATTATAAACCCTAATATGGGATTTATAGGGACCCTACCAAAAAAGTAGGTTTTGGGTCCTTAAGGTAGCCGGGGTGCTCATCCAGGATCACGTCGCGCCGACGCAGCTGGTGCGAAGGCACTTCATCTGCGGGTCATGCAGATTAGGGTTTAGGGCGTTTAGGGTTTGGGGTTTAGGGTTTAGGGTTTGGGGTTTAGGGTTTAGGGTTTAGGGTTTGGGGTTTAGCGTTTAGGGTACCACCGGAAAGCCAACATAACACCCTTAAGCTCCACCAACCCCGGGACCAACCCCATCCCAAAAGCAACAGCAGCTTATATACAGGTTGAAGGGCTACTGGTTTGTGCGGGTCTGCATTCAAGCCCAGGATATCGCCTTTATGGAAGAATAAAGGATCGGAACTCGCTTTGGGATGGTGACAGCCCTCAAAGCCGCAAAAGCCCGAACCTCCAATCTTGAACCTCGGGTGACCCTTCCAAAACCCTAAACCCTAAACCTTATAGACCCAAAACCTGAACCTTTATCCGGAAAAGTCAAATCCAAGCCTTCATGGAACCCTAACTGGACCCCGAAGAACCTGCCCATTTTAAGGACTTAGGGTTTGGAAATCATTCTTCGGAGCCCTAAAATGGCAGGTTCTTTAGGGTTCAGGTAGGCATCAATCCGGAAACCTAAAAACTTCAACAACATGAAACTCAAAGCCGCAAACCGTAAAACCATACTTGGCACGAAGCCCCAAATTTGGCCCAAAGGGTTTAGGGTTTCCAGGCCTTGTCTGCAGTGCCAGTCGAAAAGCTGCTGCTCCTCTCAGACTTAAAGACGGCTTGAGACTTCGGAACCGGTCTTGTATTCAAACCCTAAACTCTGAACTAAAGCAATTACGGCGGCACCAAAACTCAGAAGAACCACACTAAACCCCAAACCCTAAGGGTATTTAGGGTTTAGGGTATAGGGTTTATACGACTGTGAATTTGATCTTCCATCAAACCCAGATGTCATGTGCCATTAGGAAGGTATGTACCGGCGGGGCTCTGAAATTAGGGTTCAACTTCTGCGGGGCAGTACCTGCGGGGTCTTTACGAAGATCTCACTGCTTGCGGCCTGCATTACATCATGGGCCTAAACCACAAACCCTAAACTGTCCCTTGTTTACTCATTCTCTTACGTACACTCAGAGGTACTTGTAATTCTGTGGGGCACATCAAGCCGGCCGTAGAATAGGCGTTAACCCGTTCAACCTAAGAGCTTAGAGGCACCCGAAGAAGCACATAAACAAAACACACATGATGGTGTTAGGATATCCCGGAATCCGTTCTTAAAACCGAAGTAATGGGGTCAGTATGTCCCTAGACCTAAACCCTACACCCAAAGCCCTA